TAGAACTTTAAACAACCGTACTTTCTAACTTATAGACTACGGATCAAGTGAGAAAGCAGATAAAAACTGCAAAAATACCGATCGGTCGAGTGATGAATGTGGGAGTAAAAACTGCAAAAATATCAATCGGCTTAGAGTAATGAATGTGGTAGTGAAAACTGCGAAAATATAGATCGACTTAGAGTGATGAATGTGGGAGTAAAAACTGCAAAAATATCGATCGGCTTAAGGCCTGGTTTCTTAGGAAACGTCGGCGTCAGCTTGAAACGAACGTTTACCTCTGATAGGTTAATTTATGAGTTTGACAGCATACGTCATCGAACGCTCAGCTTGAACGATAACTGCCGTCCAAATCAACTGCAGTTGGATTACAACGTGACGTTAACAACAGGAGCAATGGCGGACAACAGCCAACAACAGAGCACTGAAATCAGTCAAGTTTTTAATTTTAACATTAAGCATAGCTTCTTTTTCCTCTTTTTGTTAATTTAACTGAGCTATAATGTGTTTTTCTTGGACAAAGTCATTACTTGTTCTTTAAAGCACTGGTCGACAATCACAAAATCAATGCAAATTCAAAATAAATATTTGTTTACGATATTAACGCATGCGCAATGCAAGATAATGTCTGTGTTGGACCGACTGCTCACGATGAGCTAACAAAAAGGTATTTTTATGGCGTCAAAATTATATCAATTTGACGCTGACGCCTAGTTAAGACGCTTCTCCTAAGAAACCAGGCCTTGAGCTAACAAACCAGTATTTTGTTGGCGTCAGGGTAACGTCAACTTAACGCTGACGCCCAGATAAGGCGCTTGTCCTAAGAAACCAGGCCTTAAGAGTAATGAATGTGGGAGTAAAAACTGCAAAAATATCGATCGGCTTAGAGTGATGAATGTGGGAGTAAAAACTGTAAAAATATCGATCGGCTGAGTGATGAATGTGGGAGTAAAAACTGCAAAAATATTGATCGGCTTAGAGTGATGAATGTGGGAGTAAAAACTGTAAAAATATCGATCGGCTGAGTGATGAATGTGGGAGTAAAAACTGCAAAAATATTGATCGGTTGCGAGATGAATGTGGGAGTAAAAACTGCGACAATATCGATCAGCTGAGTGTTGAATATGGAAATAAAAACGGCAACAATATCGATCGGCAATGTGTTAATCGTGTGCCAAATCGGAAAACTGCGTCAATCATTAGAGATTCTATTAATACAAACAATAAAAGAAAATTGAAAATTAATATTTAATTGAATCTAAAGAAATCGAATAAGTCAGACGTTGTTCAGGACTACTTAAAATCAAAATTTAATCAGCACACCAGAAGATGTTTTAAGTTCACGGTAACTAAATGTAATGCATTTTTTAGTGTTCTCATTTAAAAATTTGTTCCATAAACACTGCAGTAATCACAATACATTTGTGGTCATGTCACCATTAGATAATACATAATTATTCAACAAATTATTAAACAATGTATTTCAGAGTATATGGCACTTGTTAACAATATCTTATATTGATTTATAGGTAAGAGAACAAATTTTGAATTATAAGATTCAAAATTTTTTTTGTGCTGAGTGCACAAAACTTTATTATCAAAGATATTCTATAGCTACATAACGTTTGTTGATGATTTTATTAATTCATTTAATAATGATCGAATAAATTTTTAATTGTAAGATACAAAGATGTTTACGTTATGGTGACAGATGTAAAACAATTTATTTTTCTCAGAATATGCCGTACTAGAATAAATTTTATAGAAAAATAGAAGTCTATGTTAAAAATTTGCAAATAAATTACGCGAAGTCTTCAAAACTTGACGAATTATTAACGGGGAAAGTGAGATTGAAAGCATCAAAACCAGTTTCATTGCCAGCGGAAACTGAGAGGAAGTTTGTGCATAGTTGCGTACAGTTAATGAATTCCAATTCATTATTAATTTACGTTTATTTTGCCATTCGCGTATGAAACACGGGAAATCGGCAAGTGTAATGAAAATAAAACTTTGAACGATTGATTATTAATCTCTTCAAAGGTAAATATAGAAAACAAAATCTCCAGATTTGAAGAACCTAAGCACTTGGAAAGGTTTTCAGTATTGCATTAGACCCATCTTGCTTTTTTTTCTTCCTTCATTCAAGTGTTATCTGGCACTTCAGTGGGCTTAAGAAAAAATTGGAACTGTTTGATGGATGGGGACCGAAAATAACTCTTCTAATTTTGTGAACTTAAGGACAGTTTTACGTGATTTCTTTTGACACTATCATGAAACTGGAATTGATTAAACAAGCAAGTATTTTTTCGCAAAATTAAGAAGAAAAAAAATGTAAAAAACAGAATACATAACATACTATTTGATCTATCTATCTATCTATATATATATATATATATACATATATGTAATACAAAAATTATAAATAGTTTTGTATTGATAAAGGCATCAAAGCGTTTTCATAAAATGTCTTTGTTAAAGAATAGGTGTGGAGATATTCTATCTTGGGACTTCTAGGCTGAAGACATACCATTGAATTATAATTAGATTTATATTTCTTTCCCTCTTTCACTTCCATATTAGGAAGCATAAATGATTATCGATGATGCGTAGAGTTACAAGGTATGTACAAATTGAGCCTTTTCACCTCCTCCTCTGTTAGTATTTAAAGCAGGAGCGATTGTTTTTGCATGTCTTTTGTTGTACGATGTTGCCAACATAACCTTCGCCACTACTGTCTTGATATTAGTCCACCCCCCTCCAGCTGTGAGAGTTGGTGAGACTTTTGTTTACACCATACTCCAGTAAATAAAGCCTGTTGAAGTCTATCGGCTTATTATTTCTACAAATGTAAATTAACAACACTACCAAAGTAACGGAATTGAATGATGATGAATCTTAATCATTCATTTATTTAATTTTATCATCATTATATTTATTTAAGTTAAAAATATAGAGAAAATATGGAAAAATATGTAAAGATATTTTTAAAGGACAAGAAAAAATGTTAAAAAAATGGAACCCCAGTTTTATGTTGTCCGGATTTTAAGTTACTGCTTTTAAGAAAATCACGCTTTATACGATTTTCTAACAGATCAGAATCATTTTTGTTTTACAAAGCTCGTACATACTTTTTCTGATTTTTCTTCTTCTTGTTTCTTAAAAAAGAGACTGTTTGTTTGTAGTTCTTCTGAGATTATTTCTATTCCATATAATTGTACGGAGGTGAAAGGGAACCTCATAATGTAAGAAACAACTTATAAAGGAAAAACAAAACAAAAGCAGTTCATTTACTGTTCACTTTTATTAAAATTTATGCACACAGTTATTCTAAAAACTCAAAATCTATATCGTACACAAGAACTGCTGTTGCCAAAAGATGGAATACTAAATACGTAATAAGAATATAATTAATGTTCACGTTCACACTTTTACACCCTCTTTGAGTCAAAATCAGAAGGGTGGTGGGATAGGCAAAGCTCGGGAAGTGTATTAAACGAAGCATGTGAGCTTAAAATGTAGAAATTTGCGTGTGGTATTTTTTCGTGCAAGCTTCAACCTTTGAATCTTGGAATTATCCAATTATTTTAAGAGCGTTACACTAAGCAACTGGTCAGGTAATCATTTCTTTTATTGATTCCGGCTATGTCTCTGAATAAATTATTAATTTCTTTGCACAAAAGTATTTGCATTTAAATAATGTCGTTGTGCTCACGTTAAAATCCTGTAAAGAAATCAGAATTCTAAGTTAGATATTAGATAAGCTATGGATAGCCTAAAAAGGATGTACAATTGGAGGATTTCTCATTGAAACTAAAACTAACTTGACCCCTTATATTTTTTTAAAAAACAAACTTGGAAGTAGGTGTCTGTTAGACATAATTTTGAAAGAATCAAAAAGAACTAAATTCACTGCCTTACCCAATTAAGATTGCTAAAACTGGACTAAGAGTTGAATTTAGTTGTTTATAAAGTTTTTTGATTTTAATTTTATATCAGAATTTTATCCTTCTTATAGTTATATCTGATTCTGTATACTTGAGACTCATTAAGCAGAATATTTCAGCTTTTCAACAAAACTTTTCTCTTTAAGTACTGCTAGTTAAATAAAAAAAGGATCCTTCAAATATTTAAAAAAAAAAAATTAAAAATAAGAGTTTGTTTTCCTAAGCAATTTATATTTATTGGTTTTATGAATAATTGAAAGAAATTTTTTTATAAGTATTTATGAAAATTTAATTTGGAAGATGATATTAAACAAATAAATTTTGAAATATAAGCGTAGGAATTGTTTTCGTAGAATCTCATTGTTTTTTCAAGCATGGTCGAGAAAAAAAACATATCCATTATCTTGTTTTTTCCCCTTAGCAAAGGTATTTTAAAAGAAATTAATTTTGAATTGAGTTAATATAGGGTTTTTATAAAAGACAGTACAAAAGTTTTTTTTAATAAGAAAATATTTTCTGGATTAAATTTTGTGAATTTATTTATTTAATGATTAATCATGGATGATAAAACATTGCACACATTTTTAACTTTAGCATTAATGATATAATAACTGAAGGGCTTGGAGAAATATAATGATAAGCCACATTTTCAGGAGAATATTTTGCAAGAGCGTTTTTGATAAAAGTGTGTTTTGTACTTCCATCTAGTGAAAATTTTGGAAACTTGTTAAGGACTTAGCAGAAAATAGTACAAAGAAGAAGTTTTATAGAAAAATGTCTACTTTGGACCAAGTGTGGAATATCTCTATATTGCCTCAAGCTCTTCCATTCGCGCTAATAAGTACAAAAATTGTCACATATTGTGCTTCCCTCTAGTGAAAATTTTCAAAACGTGTTAAGGACGTAGCAGAAAATAGTACCAAGAAGAAGTTTTCTAGAAAAATGTCTACTTTGGGCCAAGTGTGGAATATCTCTATATTACCTCAAGCTCTTCAATTCGCACTAATAAATGTAAAGAATTGCCTCATTGAATAAAAAGTAAATAGAAAACAAAGACACTTTTATGAATTAGTTTATTTACAAATGAACATACATAAATCATACACATAGTCATGTTTCACGCATAGAACCTCACAGTTAATAAAGTTTAATAAAATATGAATAAAGAAAACAAATGGTTTTATGAAATAAATACATACATGATATAAATAAAGTAATGAAACAATCACGCTTTAATTGCTTAAATAGTTAGTAATTTATTATAGTTGCTTACTTTCACGCTTTTTCGGAAGATTTTTCCAGAGTTAAGAAAATTTATGCATTATTTTATTCTTGGTTTAATAAATTTGAATAAAAATAGTTTTGATGTACACAATAACTCAGGCGTTAGATATATATAAAAAAACTAGAATAATCATGCTATGGTGCTTTCAAGTGTTGGGAAATTCTATAATTTTGCTTGAAATTAAGCCATATAGTATCTTCAATTTCACTACTGCTTGGAGTAAATTTGCGCAAAAAGCGTAAAAAAATGTTTTATGAAGTAGGCATTCAGTGAATATTTTTGTTAGGCCGACCGGTATGTGGAGTGAGCTGACAGAAAGCATCAGAAAGGTTTTAAGTTCGAATCCCGAACAAGGCATGTATGTTCTTTCATTCTCTGTATCTGTCTTTACTTGTAATTTTGTTCGCTGACGAGATTCGAATAGGGAACTGTTTTAATAGCCTTTTATTAAGTTTTTGTTCTTTTAAAAATATTCAGTAATCTCTTCCTCTCTCTCTTTTTTGCTTCATTTGACGCGAGTTTATAAAAATAAAGATCTCGTGATGGAAAATACCTTCGTAATTTTAAGTTTTCATTTTAAGGCTGTTTTTCGATAGTTCTATTTTCACGTGAAATAATTCTTTTTTTGCGAATAATATGCTTTTTTTTATAACTGCAGCGAGTTTGCAAGAGTTATTCAGGTCAAATTTAGCCTATCTCTAGCCAGTGTTCTCTATGCATGTACTGAAAATGATGCAAGACGTCAATGTTACGAAAAACCACAGTTTTGTGAAAGTGAAAATCATTTGAGATCTAGTTTTTTAATATTAAAGCGTTACTACAACACTGCATTATTTGAGTTTAAAAAAATGTGCAAAATTAAGAATTATTCATTAATTTTAATTGTCATATAAGTCTAAAAACTTCGCCAAACTGGCGATTTTTTGAAAAGTTTCACTTTTAAAATATTTAACCGTTCTATGCCATTCCTTCCGACAAGATGGAACGCATAGTCTAAAGATCTGGCTTAGCCTCTCAAAATTAAAGCATTGAAACTGTGGCTTTTTATTTTCCATTGCGGAAGTGCTCCGATATACATTTTTCAATTTTAATTCATAAACCTAAAACTCTTAAAATTTTAAAATAATCCTCACTAAATTTGGCAATAATTTCGTTTTAATTGAGGCTGTCCGTTATCTGGTTTCTTGCGAAGAATCTCAGAAATATCATGTTAAATAGGGTGATAATAGCGACTACAAACTTAAAGGTAAGGTAAAATTGAGAATCACCATAAAGATTGAGAATTGCATAGCAACGCATGGCCATCATCACACGTACACAGCTAGGTATGCTGTCCTATTATGAGCAGGCTGTTCGCAAGCATTTGAACCAGCATCTTTATTCATCTGAACTATCTAATTTTATGTTTCCTAACAAATTGTAGAAAATTGAATTCAAATTAGATTAGAAACAGCTGTTTTATTGTAGTTCATTGATTTGGAGAAAAAATTGGCTGCGAGTTCTACAAAATTGTCGGCAAGTAAATAAACTACTGATGAGCAGGTTTTTCTGGCTACTGAAAAATGGCTAAATTGGGCTAATTTGAATGACAATTCAAATTCTGATTTCGACGATAATTATTAAAAAAACATGAAATTTTTATAAAATTAAGATAATTTACGTGAATGAAAGTACTGTGCAGTCAGTCCATAAAAGAAAAGCACCTCTAACGGTGTACGATGACAATTCCAAGTAAGGGTCGATATGCAATTTTCAATCACGATGGTGTGCACTATACCTTCCTCCCAAGTGTGTTACTGCAGTACTGGATCATTCTTCATGCTATTGATGCTATTTAGTCAACTAAATAACACATTTCTGGTTCGAATTACATCACAGCAGCACCCTATTATTCAGTTCATGAAAACATTTCCCAATTATTCACCATGATTAGTATCGAAAACTGTGAGATCTGCGATTGGTTCTGGCGTGTCGGATTGGCATTGGAGGATACAGAATCTCTCTCGATTCGTATTTCCAATCCGTACGATCGTATTTAGGATTATACCGATCGTACATACTGCTTCGATAAAAGGAATCCACAAAAGGAGAATCGTGTACAGATGCCGTGGTCACACTTTCTCTGTCGTTTCCTCTGTCCATTCGACGCCGTATGAAAAGCAGGAGAAATACATTGACGCAAGCAGAAACCAAAAGCGATATGACCAAAGCTGCCCCGCCTATTAGGTACTCAAGAGGAATTGGTAGACCTGTGATACCTGAAGTTACAGTAGCTGAGGAGTTGGGAAGAGGAGTTGCTTTGGGTGGTGGAAACTCTGCTTCGACAATTCCTTGTCCTATATAACAATAAATCATAGTATTAAATCATAAAGTACAAAGTACAGTTACAAATATGTACATCAGGCAAAAAGAAAAAAAAGCTGTAAAATTTATTGACTATTTTCGGCAAAACCGAAAAATGGCACCAAACAACACGATTATTTGCTAACAATGGAAAATAAAAGAAACCGTGGAAAAGAAAAACCATGTACTTGGTATGTAGTTTACTCTTTTTGGCGAAAAACTGAGTTATTTGTATTGTTGGATTGGCGAAGAAAAATACCTCTGAAATCACATGGTTGTGGAAGGCGTGTTAAAGTTACAACAATTACACTCGGATTATTATCACGTTGAATCAAATTTCTGTTGTTGTTGTTAAGACCAGGTCCAGAAGGGCCCGTCGCGTCAGTTCCCCATTTATCTGCAGAAAGTCCCGATCAACCAGCAGCTGCTTAAAAGAAGAGCCAAGTCAAACAAGAAGGTGATCAGGACTTGCAGGTTGTGAGCAGGAACAAGGTTGGGAAGTCTTCTCCCCATTTTGAAACCTTAAACACTTAAGATGGCCACTACGGAATCTGGCCGTGGCCGATTGGAAAGGCCGAGCGCCGCAGCATGTTAATGATAGGCCAGGGTGGTTATCAGCATACCACTGAGAATCAAATTTCTGATGAAATTCAATTGAATACTTGCAAGTGACATTACGCGTGTTAGTCGAACCTGATTGGCTGCTGAATCGCGGCNGCTAACAATGGAAAATTAAAAAAACCGTGGAAAAGAAAAACCAGGTATTTGGTATATAGTTTACCCTTTTTGGTGAAAAACTGAGTTGTTTGGATTGTTGGATTGGAGAAGAAAAATACCTCTGAAATCACATAGTTGTGGAGGGCGTGTTAAAGTTACAACAATTACACTCGGATTATTATCACGTTGAATCAAATTTCTGTTGTTGTTGTTGTTACACATCCCCCTGGAAAAGGAAAGCCTAAACCAGGTCCAGAAGGCCCCGTCGCGTCAGTTCCCCATATATCTGCAGAAAGTCCCGATCAACCAGCAGCTGCTTAAAAGAAGAGCCAAGTCAAAAAAGAAGGTGATCAGGACTTGCAGGTTGTGAGCAGGAACAAGGTTGGGAAGTCTTCTCCCCATTTTGAAACCTTAAACACTTAAGATGGCCACTACGGAATCTGGCCATGGCCGATTGGAAAGGCCGAGGGCCGCAGCATGTTAATGATAGGCCAGGGCGGTTATCAGCATACCACTGAGAATCAAATTTCTGATCAAATTCAATTGAATACTTGCAAGTGACATTACGCGTGTTAGTCGAACCTGATTGGCTGCTNAATTATAAAAAAAAAAAAAAAAAAAAAAATGGCCTGTGACAACAACAACTGAAGAATAATTGTCTCTATAAGATTGTCTCACTGAATTCGTGTTTTAATTTGTTTGTTTACATTGAAAACAGGGCTTTTATTATGCAATAATTACCAGCTGCTCTCGGCACACGATGATCTTCATCCATAACCGTTACTTCATTAGTAACTGTCAGAGTATGACTATCTTCTGGTGGAGCTGATCTCTTCCTTCTTCCATAGGACATTCCTAGATAATCACCACAATCTGCCTGCAACAACAAAAGTATATGGTTATTCTTTCTGGATATAATTTGCTTGCAACTAAATTAAGAACTCAATTGTGGGTGGACCCTAAATTTCACAGATGGACCATAAATAAACAGTTTCATTAGAAACATAGCTAAAAAATCTCGCAATTCTAACGTAATTGTGAGAAAAAATAATGCCTTATGCATTTCTTGCGGAAGACTCGGTTATTTTACACTTTTGCAAACTTGGCAATTATCTTAGAGATATTTGGCGATCATTCTGGAGACATAATGATAGTTCCGGAAAATTCGGTTTTATTGGAAAATTTACGGAGTTATACGAGAATCCAGGGTTTCCTCGCCAAGTCTATATAAATAGGAGTGCGTTTCCTCTGCTTGTGACTCCTCAACTCATTTTGGACTTCTCCAATTTCTGTAACCAGTTCTCTTCGTATGCATCCTCTACTTCATGATGAATGGGAAAAGGGCCATTGCACGGCCTCACGTGCCCAGTTCTACCAGACAGACCAGACCAGGTCTGCTTGTGATTGTAATTGCGTTCTGACCTGAATTATATCACTGACCCGTCTGAGTTTGTAAAGCCTGTGTCTTGTTGTGTACTACACTGTTATTTGAACTGTTAATGCGTGCTAGAAATAGCTGTATGTTCTGGAAGATTCCGCTAAAAAAATTTTTTGAATTCGTTAATCTCCAATCAAGACGAACCCCTGTACTCGGGACAGTAACAAACAATGAACATTTTACATTTAAAAAAACTGAATATCTTCTGCTAGCTACAAAAAAAGGAGAAACACTTGCACATTTTTATAAAAAGAAAAGGAAGAAAGGAGAAACATTTGCACATTTTTATATCTGCATTATTTTTCAATAAATATAATATTGGCGATAAAAATTTCAGCTTGAAAAAATTAAATTGTGAGTAAAGTTGATATTACTATTTCGTCTTTTTCAAGAAAAGGAATCTGTTTTCAAAAAAGGACACTGACTGCTAATGAGTAAAAGTCCTTATTTTGAAACTATGGCAAACTACAGAAAAATAGGGAAATCTTAAGTAAAAGAAAAAAAAAGGATTATTTATTTCTAATCGAGATATCAGTAGTACAATCGAAATCGAGTTATATCAGAAGAATGTCGAATTTTTTTTAATATAGTACTCATAGTATGCGTTTTTACACCGGTATAGTAAAATATTGCCACTAACATTTTTTCTAAAGATCAGACAATCATATGTAGCGAACTTATGTGACAAGAAATGTCTAACAGGGCATCACAATCTGCGAATAATTTTAACACATATACACATTGAGCCTGTGATCAGGTAATCAGGCTGTGATTTTAATAAGTGTTGATGTAACTGAACAATTATTAGTGATACGTAACACATTTTTAATTATAAAAGCGCTAAGAAACACCTTTCTCTAAATGAGTAAACATTTTCAGGAATTCTTAATAAGTCCATAATCCATAATGCTTGAAGTTCAATATTCGAGACAAGTTAATTTCTAAAAAAAAAGTGTATCAAAAGAAGTTTTTTGTTGTTGAATAGTTAAGGCTTAGTATAATAAATACATTATAAATTGAAAACCATTCATTTAGATTTGTACTACTATAACTAGGATTCAAAAAAAATTAAATAAAATAATAGTTAAATGGAAGTGAACTGTGAAATTTCCACTTAACTTAAACGTGGATGTTCAACCACTTCTAATATATAGTTACTATCACTACATTATAAAATCTAGTATATTAACTCGCTAATTTTAAAATCAAAACTTTTAATCTAGTAATCAAATTAACGCATACATTTGATGTAATAATTGAACAATTTGATCTAATGATTAAAAGATTTTGATCTAATAATTAATTTTAAGACCAAAACATTTGATCTAATAATCAAATTAATGCAAACATTTGATCTAATAATCAAATTAACGCAAACATTTGACCTAATAATTGAAACATTTGATCTAATATTTGAAACATTTGATCTGTTAATAAAAAAATTTGATTTAATAATTAATTTTAAGATTAAATATTTGATCTGATAATCAAATGAACGCAATTAAACTTGTAAATTTATAGCATCCATGGCTGCTACTAGTGACTCGTATACGGCTTCTAGAATAATAGCAGTTGTAAGCGAATTATGTGTTAGAATTCTCTTATTCACGGACTAATCGCGAGCGTAGTTCGTGGTTTTCCTTTCCTAGTTACGCAAATGTCAGTTAGTTTAATTGTCAGCCACAAAGCATATATTTATATAATTACATACAAACATTGGGTGCATTAGTCACAATGCTTGATCTAGGAGTTTCCTGGTCTTTTGGGTTTGGTTCAAAATTATAAGTCTATGGAGTTTTTATCATTAGTGATTATAACTACAATATAGATCGAAAAGTTCACTAGTTATAAAATGTCAGCTTTGAAAATCAAATCTTTTTAAAGTTCAAATAAAACTCAAATGAATCTTCTTCCCCCCTTATGATCAAACGTTTACAACATGATGGGACATGAATGATAAAAAAGGTTCTCCTGACAAGAAAAGGCAAGGGGTTTTCCGTTATTCATCACCGTATGTAACGTTCTTTAAATAGATAGTGCAACCATAATCACTTGGAGCAGACGATTTCAGACCACTTCGCATCGAAACCTCATTATCTAACCGCACTCTCAGGCGCTTTTTCTTTCGAAGTGAACTGATTGGCCAGTTGCCAATCCAATCCAATCAAATTGCTCGCCTACTGAACACACACAATTTTTATTCCATCATCCGACGTTGATTTCTTGTCTGAAATAATATTGAATCCTTGTAGTTTCAGTTTTAACTGACACTGGATAAAAATCTATTTTGATAATTTAAGTTATAAGCATTTGGTACTTTGAGTGGGAAGAAACTGGCGGCTTTTAATAATTTCTTCTTTCCAAAAATTATAAAGAAAGCTGATTGCCGCGTCTTATTTTATCGCAAAATTATATTTTTAGCGTGTGATTGGAATTTTTTTTTTAAAGTTTTATTTTGCATGGTACTTTTTACTAGTACATTATACAGATTTTTATTCAGATTAAAGACTTTTTCAATTAAATAAAAGTCATTAAAGTCATTATTTTGCAAGCTTCAAACCTTTTTTTAAGTCTTAATGAATGTAATTTAAACAAATTGAATTCAAAATAGTATCACGCTTTATAAAATTGATCTAAAATGGGCTAACAATTAATTTACGTTATGCTGTGTATTCTATTCTATGTCAATCAAACACGATTTAATATACCATCTTTTTAGGAATCAAAAAGGTTTCAACTTACCTTTCTTTGAACGAAACTCAAATAAAAACACATTGTTGATAAAGAAATAAATAACTAAAACTGATTTAAGATACGCAGTGCTTTAACAATTTTTTGGAAGCACTGTTTGAACTGTTTGTCTATGTTGGGGGTTCGAGACAATAAACATCTATTTTTAGATTTTTAATTTTTAATAAGTGGGGTGAACATTGCGGTATGAGTTCGCTAGCAACCTTGGCCCCAGTTGGACTCAAAATTGGTTCAATATGGGATCTATGTAAACATGCTCCGAGAGACCAATATTGGGATATCTAGATTTTTAAATATGGGTCCTATGCAGTGTCAATATCGGTCTATATAGGGCCAATATAGGACTTGTATTAGCTGGATAAGGATTATAAAATATCGGGTGAATCTGGTAATTCTATATAGGGCCGATACTGGTTGTAAAGTGGCAATAAAATATCGGTTGAATCGGACAATTCCATATAGGGACCATATCGGAAAATATCGGAAATACCCTTTGAACCCACATTGAGCCAATATTCGTGAATGTAGGTCCAATGAGGGCCCAAGTTATTTTGCTGCTACGGTTGATGAAAACTTCCCTTCAGTTGCCAGTCGAATTCTAATCTATGCTGTATTTAATTTTGAAAAAATGTTAATTTTGCGCTGCATATAAAGAAAGTCAAAGCAACGTGAAAAATCGCAAGTAAGGAAACATTAAACAAGTATATGGTTGTTTCGGCACTGTAACGATCGAATTACGGTATAGAGTGTCGGGACTTTGGGTGCATCATCCTTAAAATCCATCTTACCGTCGAATTTATTTTTACCCTAAAATATGATACCATAAATTTTACAGTAATATTAATTTAATTAGAAAGGTTCAGTGATTTTAACGGTAATTATAATTGTAAAATTACGGTTCATCAGATTTTTTTGTTCCGTAGCCATGTTCTGGCAAAAACGGATTTTACTGTAATTTCTGAGTGCCGGTCATTTTTACAGTGTAGGCGACAGGCATGATACGATACATCCCTAGTATGCGCACTCTGAAAAATTGATTTAATACGAACCATAATATTGATACTTTGATCCATAAAATAGTGCAAATTTTTTGCAACCTCGATAGCGTGTGAAATTGAATCATGTTTTCATTCAAGGTGAATCCGGGTACAGTGTCATAAAGTTTAAGAAGTGTGTCAATATGATTCACCATGGCATCATATTAAGGATTCAGTAAATTTGAATAAGATTTTGGTTCAATACACGCTATAATTTATTAAAGTGTATTGTATATAGATCCTGGGTTAGAACTCCATAGCAACATATGCATGCATACTTTGTATCATCTGGAAATGTTACATCGTGAGAAAATGTGGATCGCGTTGAGTCATAACATCGAGCAAATTTATTACAACCATAATATGTTGCCAGTTGACGTGAAAATGAAGTCTTCTTTGACTTTATTACACTATATTTTGGTAATTTGATATTACACTGAGAAAAAATGCATGCTCAAAACTACCAGGATATGGTAAAATTTACAGTGTTTTTGGCTCTATGAGAACACCAAATAGCTCGGTGATTTTTATCGAATTGCTTTGGTAATGGTTTGGTAAAATTAACAGTAAAATATTGTTTTATAATATGTGGCAAAATTTGGTACATATGGTAAAATTTAGTATTTTTATCATGACACCTAGATCGATCGTTCTCTGATTCAGGTCAAAAATTACGATCTGCGGATGAATGAATGGATGTATGAATGGGTCCACCCTATAAACAGGTGTGGCAGAAGTCGAATTCATGGCCAAAGATGGCGCCACTGGAAAACAAGAACAATCGCACCCCTCTGCCTAAACAGGCATACGTCAACAACATCATGACGCCTTAGAGTAGAGGTTCTTAACCTGTGGTTCATGAACCCTTTAGGGGTCCATGGGTCAAATTTTGGGGGTCCGCCGACTATTCCTAATTTTTAAAATTTTTGGAACCCTTCCCATTGGTTGTAAAATGAGCTGTGACAGCTATAATTCCATTTGCTACAGTGTATCTTTGCGAAGCGGGATTTTCGACACTTGTGACAATAAAAACAAAACATCGAAATCGATTGAATGTTGAACATGATATGCGCGTTGCCTTGTTGAAAACCATTCCCCAATTCAATTTATTAATTAAGAAGAAACCGCAAAAACCTTCACATTAGAAATATTTATTTTAAAAATTTTGTATACTATTAAAATAATAAAATTATATGTTTTGTAATAATTGATGTTTTTTGCAATTATTTTTTTCACTGGGGGTGGTCCGTGACTCCTTAAAATTTTTTAAAAGGGGTCCATTCTACTAAAAAGGTTAAGAAACACTGCCTTAGAGCATGGTATAAAAATCATTTATTCTGATGTTGAATTTACTTTTCACTTTTGTATTTTTCATTAAATGTGTAAACAAAAATTTTGAATTTCCGGTTTTTGTCACCACATGAACGAAAAAATTACCAAATCAATTGTTTAAATACCCTTAATGGATACGAAGTTCATTTTAACTGCTTTCTTCAAGGTTGTAGCAAAGTATCGATACTATAGTTTGACGTAGAACCAATTTTTTCAAGAGTTCTTCTCAGTCAAATGTATCTCCTAAACTTTATAAAGTTATGATCATCTCGAAAAATTTATCGCTTTTTCACTCTTCTCTAATATTCAATTCTATAAGTTTATTTAACTGTATCTAAAAGAAAATCTCATTAAACAAAGGTCCAGACGTATGCTTTAAATTTAATGCATTAACTTCATAACACATAATGAAACTATAAAACACATGTGTTTGATCATAAAAGTTTCCTGGAAGGAAGGGCAAACGTTCTATCCTGTGGCGCCATTCGAATATAGAACAAAGAAAAGGGAACAGAATTGCATAACCAAAGTCCTATATGGAAAAAAATACTGACGTGGGTACCCTTGACCACTTAGAGTGTACTTTAGTCAAACTGCGGTCAATCGGAACTAAGCACCGATTCCACTCAGATTAATTGTTTGTGTCGAACAAACTCTCGGTGCCGTGAGCCTAGCAGAGTGAAAATGGTCATTCAGGCGATTATCTTACAGTTGGTTGAGACCATCATTAGGATGTGGTCACTTGTTTGAAGATGGCCGACTGGAAGTGTTTTAGGAGAATCTTTTGGTTACTCGGAAAAAGTCACTGAAGCTGAAGTTATGCTTCACTCTGAGTCGGAAGTTATTTCGATTCATTTGTGGTTTAACGAAACCAAAGCTTTAATGAAAAGAAAATTAAAAAAAAATAAATAATAATTCCATGGTATAGTTTTGAAGTGCTCAGAATTAAAGGTACTCGCGAGTTTTTTTTCACTCAATTCTACAAAGAAATATGTAAAGAGTTTCCACTCTAATGCTGGAGTATGTCAAAAGGCGACGAGTATTATATTCAAAGCGCGACAAAATGGCAACATTCTCGCCCAAATAGTTTTAGCGCTACCTTACGGCAGACAACTTAACTAGCTTGATTGATGAGTTTATCATTTATTTTTTAAACCTATTTTCAATTGGGTACTTGCAACTCAAGAAGATCATTTATTCACAGACACGTGACATCTCGGATGCTTCGCTCATGCTCATGGATGGAAGTGTAAACGGAATTTCCCCCTGATCTATATAATTCCTCATATAATAATTATATATAATTGCGATATTATAAAATTCCCAACTTGTCAGGGAACAGATTTAGGGAAAGTTTTCAAACAGAATTAATTCGGGAACAATTTTATCCGAGAGCATGTGCAAAGCACGTTGCTTCACTTGCAAGTATCTAATTGAATTTATTGAGATCACTGCAATCTTTTGGTTATTTGTTTTATTTTAGTACTAGAAAATGCTTAGATGTTGATTCTTTACGGATTTCGTGTGCTAATGAAGCCAAAAGTACATTTCGTAAAGTAAAAGACGATTTAGTTAAAATTTTTTAACTTCTCGCTGTTTTTCATTTTATTTATTTCTTAATGTTCTTAAATTTATTCCAATGTTGACTAAAATACATATTTATAAAGATGACCTGCACTAATTCTTTTAATAGAAGAATTCTTTTAATAGAAAATTAGTGCATTTCTCTATTAAAAGAACTAATTCTTTTAATAGAGAAATGCACTAATTCTTTTAATAGAAGAATAATTATGGAAAATCGCATTTAATGTAGATTTTTTTCTCTTCTTTGTTTATGGTAGAACATTCATTACAAATAATAGAACTAAAATCTAAGATAAAAGATTCGAAATTTAATAAAAATTCTTATACTACTACATAAACGCACAGTGTAAAAAGGTATCAAAGCACTAATTTTTACGCAGACATTATCTTTAATTCAATAATTCTTATTAAAATAAAGTAATGAAAAAACAACAACTTTTGAAGATAATACTGTATATTGTAGTGCGCAAGTAAACAAAAATATGACGGACACTTAGTTATAAACTATACAGCGTCAACTATAGATGGTTGACTGAATATAAACAATCACAAGCTTCCTAAAACCGGAAGAAATTTAGTTAACTTCCTGTGTATCCCTCCGCTTATGTTATACTTACGAAGCGATGTGTGAACAGGCTTAATATTCTAGGAAGTTTTATTAAAGTGATTTATGTTTAAATTTGCGAGTAATTTTATCATTCATAAGAGTATTCTGTAATTTATTAAATTCTAACTGTTTGTGAGCCTAAAGCAAACAGAAGATAATTAATATCCCAACACAAATAAAGTGTAACGTTTGCCATATTTTAAGTGTTATCTCTTATTTGGCTATATTTGGGTAAAACAGCGCCGTTAGTCATTTTTTGGGTTGCATCTTGCAGGGTATAGCATGCTTGCGGAATCTTTCAAATTTTTATGTTGCTTGTTTCCTTTAAATTTAAATTTAAAAAATGTTTTTATTGTAAACACAAGTAGAATATTTGATGGCACCTTTTTTCAAGCTTAGGCGTAAAAATCAATCGGAAGTGTTATGACGAGTTTTTACCCCTAGCGCCATCTATGCTTAGCTTGGGGGTCAACCATACTATTCAAGCCGTGATGATTAAGGGGATAGAGCGTTCGCCTTCCAATGAGGTGAACTGGTTCCGAATCCCGGCGATTTCTGGTCGATACGAATTCCGCATCTGGCTTGCACCGACCACAGTGCTGACGTGAAATATCCTCAGTGGTACACTTATTATGGGTTAGAGTCCCCCTGCCATCAGGCTAACCGTGGGAGGTTTTCGTAGTTTTCCTCTTCATGTGACGCAAATGCGGGTTGGTTCCTTAAAAAAGTTCGACATGAAGGCAAATTTCTCCCAATACTTGATCCAGAAGTTCCCTTGTTTTCTGAATTGGGTTCAAAATTACAAGGCGACGGAACGACACAAAAATTGGATCGACTGTTCAACGACGGTTATAAAATAAAAACCATACTATTCAAATTTACAGTATCAACTAACCGTTAACCTTTAGCGTTGCTAGAGAAAGTAGTGGCTAGCTGGCTGGGTCTAAACCAAGTATTATCGTTGATGCTCAATTCAATGCTATCTAGATTGAAGATCGAGATTAGAAGCAATTTCATTTCCCCCATATATTGCCCCTAATAATAATTGCCCCCTTTGACAAATTTTAATATATTCTCAACATGGAACATAAATAACTTTTTATCTAATGATCGAATGTTGTCAAAAAATTCATGGAGGACAATTGGTATTGTCCTGTCATCATTTAGGGAAATATAAAATGCGTTGTCTTCGATTTGTATACCTTTTTGAGAGTTGGCAATTTTTGTTACATAATATGGATTATCGTCTTACCCATGGGCAATCGTGTTGGCATACTATAACGTTACACCTGAAAAACACTTTAGACCCATCTAAGAACCGAAAAACTCGAAAGGGAATGTAGAGGTAGTAATCTCCTGTTGTTCGACTTTGGTCGTCTACGTACACTTTGTCAGATATGGAGACATCTACAGGACAGCTGAAATAAAGATCAAAAATCATTGGTTAGAAAATATATTACATTTAGAAAAATATTTTTTTTTTTTTTGTTTAACAAAACTAAAACTGGGTTTGTTTCAAAAAGCAGGTTTAAGTGCTGGGAAAAATGATCTATATGTTTTTATGTAAAGACTTTTTTTATTTTTTTTTAATTTAAATAATTAGAAATTTTTATATGCGTTATAAGGAATACAAATCATTCAGAATCAGTTCTGAAATTTTTTGAAAATGCTTGCAAAGTTTCCAAAGCTAATTAGTTTTCAATTTGTTATTCAAAAAAATAGCTCAAAGCTCTGAAATTTATAATTGTGCTTTTAACAAAGTTGTGAATATTTAATAGTAATTTTTTTAAAAGCATACTTATTGCTTTATTTCTACAAGTTTTTCTGTAGTATCCTATTTATTTTAATTGAAATTTTTATTTTATTTCAGTAACTTATTAATGACTAAAAATTTAAATTTTTTGAAGACGAATTAGTTTTAAAGATTTTAATAAGTGATTTAAATTGTTAAGATTTTATGCTGGGACACATTTCAAATGGGTTTCACTTAGCGAGCGAAGCGGGCATGGTTTGCTTTGCAAACCATGTAAGACTGCATAGAAATTTTCGGGGTTTGGGGAGTGTCAGCGAACCCACTAGCAAAAACAACCATATGAGAAAACCCATATGACAAACCTATGAACGGTTCTTTAACAGATTAATGCATAAATAAAATTATTTTAAATATGCATTTAATTCACGCAGTTTAAGTATGCACGTTTATTTTAATAATAACCCTATGAAAAGATAACGTATAAAATAAACATCAATTCAACATGAAAGAAAAAATGCTATGCGTGTGTGGTCAGAAAGATCAATAAATAAGTTCCAGAAATTTCTTTCAAATTCCCCTCACAACTTTGTATAACAATGCCCATTGACCATTATACAAGAACATGATGTTTGGACGTCAATGGTCATAAAAGGCTTTTATAAAAGCAATTGATTCTTTGAGGAAGCAGAATACGGAATGGCAAAGATGTTTTCTTCAGAAATAATAATAAAAGGTCTCATATTTCTTCATGTATTGAAAACACAGAAATGACTGAGCCAAAAATAATTATGTATGTTCGAAAATATTGAAAAAAGTATATATTTAGTTTTAAACATTAGATGATGTAAAATGAATATAATATCTCTTAAATTTGAAGATGATTGTCAGCAATTTAAAAAAGTTTTGTTAAGTATTGCTAATTTGCGAATTGTTAATTTATAAATTTAGCGTTATAACTGGTTCTGATAAAAAAACTTTTTGTTTTAAAGGAACATTTAAGATGTTCCTTTAAGATGTAAAAATATATGTACTAAAAAGAACACCTGTCCCACCACTTTCCACTTCCAAATATTTCCCTTATAATACTTTTAAGACCTATTAGGAAGCATAAATCATTTTTCTAAGTTATCATTTTTTGAAATAATATTTAAAATTAAAAGTATATTGTTATAACAAATTTGGTGAGTTCACAACTGTCATTTAATATTTTTGCTTACCGAACGAACGGATGTATATTTTAAGAACAATTTTTGTATTCATTACTCTCTGCAGAAAGCTGAAAGTTAAATTCTAAATCATTTAACAAATCTCTTTAATCGTAACTCATCTATCTATCTATCTTATTATATAAAACGCTAATACGTACGTATGTATGTATCAATAAAATCGATGATATTTCTTTTCTCGCGCTGGCAACAGTTTTCATTTTTAATTGATTGGATTCGGCGCGCAAGAGCACGTAGTGAGCANATTTGGTAAGTGAAATATTTTTGCTTACCGAACGAACGGGTGTATATTTTTTAGCACCATTTTTGCATTTATTACTATCTACAGGAAGCTGAAAGTTAAATTCTAAATCATTTAAAAAAGTCTCTTTAATCGTAATTCATAATAGTATATTAATGTAATTTGCACCAAGGAATAATAATTGCAAAACTGTTAATAAGATCAGACACCGGTTTAAATAACTTCATCTTAAAATGTATCGTAGAATTACCCTATTCTAACAGCAATAATAATAAAATAATCCTCTTAAACTCTTAATTTAGAAAACAAACAAAATCAAAAACGAAGTAATAACAGTACGGGTAAATACATTTAAATTAGGAATGTAAAAATACTCATGGGAAAACAATGTCTTTATGATTTATATCAATTTTATGCTGATGGCAACTAAACCAATATGAAAATTAATGTGGGAAAACTGGTTCCTACCATGTGATTTTTCGACCAATAAAAATACACCGGCACAATAACGGAAAACATTGTTAGATCATTATGTTTTTATGTTAGATAAAGATGTCAGCAACCAACTTTTGACTTAAATATTTCATGTTAGTAAATCCAATTTCAGTCAAGGTTTATTTTTAGCCTTACCTGAAATTAAACCAACAAGAATTATATTATTTCACCACAGTTTTTAAAAATAAAAAATTGTAAAAAGAGAACCCCCCAATGTCCGATGCTTATTGCATTAAAATTCATGTCCGTATTTCTTATCGGACCGTAAAAAAAATGTTCCTTTCTTATCTGTTTTGCAAGCCTGCCAATTCTTGGCGAATTCCGGAACGGACCTAAGGCCTTATCTAGAAGAAAGACAAAATCATTTCCAGGGGTTGGGGGTGGCAGATGGGGACGAATGAAAGTTCCAAAAAAGGGAGCAGAGATCCAGTCATTTCGGTTACTATGAATTGTCCTTTTTCACGCCATTAACAATAATCTTCAGTCTGGATGGAGGAAAATGAAAATCTGCATTTAATGATTTTCCACCCTTTATTAGACGAAACGAATAAAAGGGAAGTTAAGAGAATATTGCCACCTGACTTTTAAAGCAGACAGTTCAATACAAGCGTTTTATGATGGTTTGGAAAAATAAAGTTTTGCTAAAAAATGACTGTTGGATTAATGTTAATTCGTCATTATTACAGATGATAATATCTATAGTTATGAACGATGAATTAGATCATTAAAACAATGCCGTTGGATGCTAATTAGCATATTATTTGTATTCTTTGTATTTATTACTACATAAAGTTTTTTTTAGCTGTCATATTATGTCATGACATATTTTACTGTTAAATAACATAATTAGACGCGGGATGAGATAAATGAGAAGTTGGATTTCACTGTATAGCTGTTTATGTACAATTATGTACAAGCGTTTTATGATGGTTTGGAAAAATAAAGTTTTGTTAAAAAATGACTGTTGGATTAATGTTAATTCGTCATTATTTCGGATGATAATATTTATAGTTTTGAGCGATGAATTAGACCATTAAAACAATGCCGTCGGATGTAACTTAGCATATTATTTGTATTCTTAGTATTTATTACTATATAATGTTTTTTTTTTAACTGTCATATTATGTTATGACATATTTTACAGTAAAATTACATAATTAGACGAGAAATGAGAGAAATGAAAAGCTAGATTTCACTGTATAGCTGTATTTACTACTGTATTTGATTGTGTATATACTATACAGACTGAAGACTGATTGTACAGACTCTGTTACTGTATTTGATTATTTCCCCTCTTTATTGAATGCAAAGAATGAAAGAGAAATCAAGAGAATATTGCCAGTTGGCTTATAAGCAGACAGTTTAATGCAAATGTTTTTTAACGGTTCGAAAAATTGAAGCAAACTAATGTTTTGCTAAAAAATAACTTAGATTAATGTTAATACGCCATTATTACAAACGATAATATCTTTAGTTATAAATGCTAAACTAGATCATTAAAGTGATGTTGTTGGATTATCATATAATTTGTATTCTTAGAGTTTATTGATAAATAATGAAGCTAAATTACTGTCCTATTATGTTATGACATATTTTACAGTTAAATAACATAATTACACATTTGACAGAGGAAATGAGAATCTGGATTTAATTACTTTTCATCCTTATTAAATGAAACAAAGAGAAGTTAAGAGACTATTGCTACTCTTTGTGAAAGATTATGGAATGTGTCACTTATGATAATTGATACTTGACGGGCTTGGCTTAGTCGAAATAGAATGGAAAGAACAGTTGCAAACATAAACAAATGCCAAGTTACAGCAACCAATCAGGATCGAGATACCCACATTACGTCACTTGCAGGTGGTATCTCATTAACATATAATTTGTATTCTTACAACTTAATGTTTTTTAATACTCTTTATTAGAAGAAACGAGTTAAAGGGATGTTAAGAGAATATTACCATCTGACTTTTAAGCAGACAGAAGCGTTTTCCGATAAGTCGAAAAATTGACACCAAAAGCTATTTTGCTTTAAAAAAAAAAAAAAGAAAAAAGAAAAGAAAAAAAAACCAGTTGGATTTATGTTAATTTGCTATTATTAAAGATCATATTATCTTTCGTTATGAACGCTAAACTGGACAACTGGAGCGGTGCTGCTGGATGCTAAACAGCAAATAATTTAAATTTTTGTAATTTCATAACGCTGCTTTTGTTACTCTGTCAATACGTTGTGGTCCTTTTTTAACGGTTAGGTAATATAATTATGATTAAGAGTGAATAAAAATATGACTCAAACATTATCAAGTATATAGTTCTAATGAAGGATATGGGGTAATAAAGTGATAATCAAACAAAAAGTTGGCTTAAAAATCGTAAAAACTTGTCAGGCAAAAAAGTTTTTTCTAGTGCTAAACTTCCTTTTACAGAATTGCAAAAAGGAATTTACATATTGCTATCCAGACAAATGATGTATTGTTTCCTATGTATTCTCTTACGCTGAATCGAATTCATAGCAAACATGAGTCAATAAAAGTGACAGCTCTAAAGTTACAAGAGATTTAAGGTTTAAAAAGTAGTTAATTTCATGTAAAAATTAATTAAAAATACTTTTTTTCTTTTTAAGAAACTAGTATAATAAAAAATTTACGGTTCTTGTACTTATGTTTCAAAATAGGGATTTTGCATTAAATTAGGGTTTTTACATTATTTTACATTAAAAAGTTATTTGTTAATGGATAAACATTTTTATTTACTGATATCAAACTCAAAAATGTATTAATTTGGATTCAACTTAATTTTATCGGGATTTAAATTTATTTGTTGAGAAAAATAATTAGAAGTATATTTTTCCATTTTTAAGAAAACATATTTATATATTATGCACTGAGGCCGGGATAGCCTGGTTGGTAGGGCTCTGAACTCTCGTTCGTGAGAACGGGAGTTTCGAATCCAGATGACCGAAGAACCCCTGTGTTGTAAATGGTAACTGGTGCACGTTAAATCTGCCAGATCACAAAGTCTTCCATGTTCCCATAACAAATTATACCTCTGGGGTTCTCAATTGTATATTGATCCCTCTCTGGTACAGGTCAAAATTACGATCTGTGGATGAATGAAGAGATGTATAAATGGGTTCTCTCTATAGACGAGTGTGACGTATGGGTGTGGCAGAAGTTGAATTCTTGGTCATAGATGGCACCACTAGAAAACAAGAACGATCAAATTCACTCTGCCTTAATGGCCGAGGACAACAGCATGCTATATATTTTTGTATTACGTTGTTAGTTGGCAAAAAAAAATTTTTTTTTTAATTTTTAAACATTTATTATTTTACCTTAAAAAATTATTTGTTAATGGTTTAAAAATTCTGGTTTATGTATCACCCACAAAAAATATTAATTTGTTATCAAATTAGTTTCATTGGGATTATAGTTAGTTAGGAGTGGAGAAAAGTATTTTTCCCATTTAAAAGACAAAAATTACAAATATGTGTATTATGTGTAAAAGAAACTGTTATTTTTAAACATTTTTGCATTTTCTTTAATGGTTTAAAAATAATTTATTTACTCATATCCTTAATTTCCTATCAAATTAGTCATTTTAGGATTTAAATTAGTTTCACGTAAAAATAAAAGTATTTTTTTTCCATTTAAGAAACAATATTTAAATTAACATATATTACACAGCTATTTCTCAAAATTACTGTTTTTGAACATTCATTATTTTATATAAATTTTTTATGGTTTAAAAATTATTATTTGCGAAAAACTCTTACTTTCACATCAAATTGGTTCTTTTTGGGTTAAAATTACTTTGACGTGAAAAATGAAAGAATATTTCTTTCCACTTAAGAAACAATAATTATAAAGGCGTAGTTTATATATATATCCCACATTACGTCACTTGCAGGTGGTNATATTTATATATATATCCGTTAAGATACAAAAATACGAAATTAATTCTGAGTTCACATTGAGGGGATGAAAAGAGAAAACTATCGTTTGAAAGCGCCGAGAAGCCCGGTGAGAAAGGGCGCAAGCGCTGTAAGAAAGCAAAGAAGGGCGCTGATCACGTGGACGGAGACTTTAACGGCCGGCTCGTGGAAAGCCCCAGTCGTCGGGCGACTTGGTATTGGTATTGAACGATGAGAAAGTGCGCTTCACAGCCGAAGAGCTGTGGCGCGGGGCGCAGATTGCATAACGGGGTGCTGCCCCTCACGCGGGGCTATCGAGAAACTTCGAGCGAAACTTTGAGTTAGAAAAAAAAATGGATATCGATTTAGTTTTTATGGTGTTTGAACTCTCAAAACTCCATGACAAAAGATATGAACGCATCTGAAGTTATGTACGTGGAATCACGATGAAATGAAAATGAGAATTTCACCTGGCGATGGGGAAAGGAGATTTGAACTTGCAGTTTCTGAGAACTTTAACGCTGGAAACGGAATGCACACGACAGTACAAATGCATGGATTAATTGCCTCACTGATTAATTGAGTAAAGTTTAGAAAAGGTTTAGTGTTCTGGAATTACAAAACCAAGTTTCACAATTTTCATTTTATTACCGTGCCTTTTTTGAAAAGATATTATGGAACAAAAATGAAGTATTTTCTGTTTATTTTATGGAAGGATTCTTACATATCACTTAATATTTCTATTAAGTATGAACCTCGCTTATAAGATACGTACTTTTCAATTATAAGCAGAAATTAATTTTCAATCTCCTCGTAACTGAATCAACAGAACTCTTAATTTAAACTCATCATTGGACTATTTAGCATCAGAAGCCAATTCCCCTTGTATTAGAGTAAAAATCGCATTAAAAAGTGTGAAAGAATCCCCTCCTCGCGGGCGTTGCGCCAAAAAATTCCGCTTCCACCACTGGACTACTAAATAGGTACTGCTTTTACTCGAAGCGTGGATCTCGTAACGAAATAGTCTACAGTATAAATTAGTTTGTGTAAAAACACTGCCACGAAACTGTCTCAGACGTAACATTCGGAACTCGCGTGACTTTACAAGGCAATAACTGAGTTACATGTTCTTCTTACTTAAATTTTCGTTAGAGATTGAATTATTCAGTTTTATTTGCATTTAACTAACGTGAGCTATTGAAGAAGGACTTATGAAGTTTAATTATTTATCTTCGATGGGGGGAAAGAAGTGGATCAGCCGAAGTTACTGTGAGTGGTTATATTTTTTAAAATAACATCCCAGCCCACCCCCGATCGTCCCTCCCCCTCCCAATCCCCATCCCTAACGTGCAAGCTCCTAACCGGCACCATTGTAGGCCAGTCCTCTGACACGCGGCCCCTGCGACCCCCGAGGACTCGGCGGGCTCGCGAGCGGCTCGGGTCCGACTCGAGCGACACGACGACGAGTTACGGCATGCTGGACGTGCTGCGGAGCCTGAAGAGCCTGCTGAAAATCAGCAGGGTCCACATTGACAACAACGTGTTTCGGCTCCATTATACAGTCACGGTCGTCGTCCTTATTGCCTTTTGTATCATTGTAACCACTAAGCAATTCGTCGGTGAGCCAATAGACTGCATACATAGCAGCGAGGTGCCTGAATCGGTCATCAACACTTTCTGTTGGATCCATACTACCTTCACAGTTCCCTCTGCTTATGGTAAGGAGGTGGGCAAGGACGTGCCGCATCCAGGCATAGATTCAACTCAAGACGCTTCGCAATTCCGCTATCACAAATACTACCAATGGGTATGCTTCACACTGTTCTTCCAGGCAGCGCTATTCTATATACCGCGATGGCTTTGGCGCATGTGGGAAGGCGGCAAGATTCAAGCGCTGATGATGGACTTGGACATTGCTTTGTGCAGCGAAACAGAAAAAAAGCAAAAGAAAAAGCTTCTTGTAGATTATCTCATGAGCACGCTGAAACAACACGACTGGTATGCAGCGCGATACTTTTTGTGCGAAACAATGGCTTTTGCAAATGTCGTTGGCCAAATGTTTCTCATGAACCGCTTTTTCGATGGAGAATTCTTAAGCTACGGTATAGAAGTGATTCGCTATTCAGAGAGGGATCAAGAGACTCGAACAGATCCCATGATCCGAATTTTCCCTCGAGTCACCAAGTGCCGATTCTACAAATATGGCTCGTCTGGAAATGTGGAGTTGCACGACGCGCTCTGTGTCCTGCCTCTGAATGTAATCAACGAAAAAATTTACATCTTCCTCTGGTTCTGGTTCATCATTCTTTCTGTGTTGACTGGAGTTGTGCTCGTCTTCCGGGTGGTCATCGCCGCCTGTCCTCCAGTCAGAGTTTACCTCCTGAACATGCGTTTCAGGATCGTGCACTTAGATCATTTACACACTGTGGTGAGACGGGGATCTATAGGAGACTGGTTCTTAGTGTATATGCTCGGACAGAACATAGATGCTGTGATCTTCAGGGAGGTGTTGGCCGAAATGGCGAAGAGGATGACCACAGAACCGAAGGAGGCGGCATGACACGAAATGTGTCGGTGTCTCCAACGCTGTGCCTCTGTTCCATAACCTGCCTTTTGAGTGTTCATCTTGAACAAAAGAAAGTGATAATAATGCATGGTTTCTTTAAGAGATCTCACTTAATGGATACTAGCAAGGTATGGTATCAGACGTTATTTGTGCTTGCTCAAGCAGTTCAAAAGCTTCAGTGTCCTGAACCTTTCACACACCATGCAAAAGGTGATTTATTTTCAATTTTATTTCTCAAAAATGCATTTAATCCCCTTGATAAAGTTCACATTTTTTCAAGTATGTTCCTACTGCCAAGACGCAAATATTTTCTTTGTTATTTAGTCAAGATATATGTATTTTATTTTGCATGTTTCTATTAGAGTTGGGTAGTGAGTTATCGAAGTGATTCGTTGCTTTGAATCATACTCTTGGTATGGATTCGAGTCTGTAAGTTCGCATCAGTGTCATTTATAGCGTGATGTAAACATGTGAAAACTATGCAACTACCAAAAATAAGAGCATTATGATGAACATGAAAAAATTGCAACAATAGTCAGAGTGTGTTTTGATTTTGATAGAGTTTTGAGTTCCTAAATTGAGTTTTCTAATAAAAAGCAGTTTTGTCAGAATCCCTTGAGTGTAAAAAATTGATTTATGATAGATAATTTGTAAAATAAATACACAAGTTTTCTGTCAGTTCACAATAATATAGATTAATTTATTACACTTTGATTCATAATAATTATATATTGATTCATTATAAGAAAAATTTATAAACTCATAAAAACAAATTATTGCTTCATAATTATCTTATATTGCTCCTAAAAATATTTCAATCTATAATAATAATTGATTTTTAATAATTATATGTTTACTCACAATAACTATAATATAGAAATAAAAAAAAATTGCCGATTAATAATATTTGTAAGTTTTTTAACAATAATTTTTTCAAAAATTAAAGAAATATATTGATTAATAATAATAATATATTGATTCATAATAGTATTTCTATAATTCACAATAATAACATTTTTAATTCCCCATAATTTTTTGATTCACCATATTAATGCATTCATAGGTAATAATAATTTTTGATTAATAATAATAATGTATTAATTCCTAATATTCTGCTGAATTGTAATATTTCTTAATAAGCAATTATGATTTGAATCATTTGGTTTACATAATGTCATTCAAATGAATGGATCCGTTTCAACCGAATCACGTTGATATTTCGCTTTGCCCAACTCTAATTTCGATGCATAATATGTATAGGAAATATATTTCATCTGTAACTTAGCAAATCATGAAAATTTAGATTGTATATAACGTTGAAGATATATTAATATATTACATTTCTCTCATTCTAGGAGAGAAATGAATTAAATAGTATAAGCTTTTTATTGTTATTTAAAAAAGATTCCATAATATATCTATGCATAGAAAAACTAGTATTGAAACAATATTTTTGAGAATGTTAAAAAAAACACAAAAATGTTTTGTCTCTAGCAGAATTATAACTTTTTGAAAAGAAAATTTATAGTAGTTTCATTAAAAAAACTTATTTCATAGAGTAAATTATTTTCGAAGCTCAGAAGATACTATATATCACAATATATTGATCCGTCTATAGTTTATGTATGTAGAGAATATAACAAAATAAATTAGAGATTCAAGAATTTAAAAAGAATTGAGTATAAATTCCTCCGTTTGATATTAGATAGTAAAAATTTTGCTACCCGAACAAGTTTATGTCACGAAGGTTAGGTCAGAGGCACAATTTTAATAAGATTTCTTCCATTCTTGTGTTAAGTAGATTTAATAAATTCATTATTTTAAATAAAAAAGTTAAATTTGAATTGAGGAAAATGTTCTTTGTCTTAATTGATGAAAATTCAATGATCATTTAGATTATTTTTTACATTGAAAATAATTTCATAAGTTTATTGTAAAAATTGTGCTTACTTTCACAAATATTTTTGGAATGGCAATACAAATTATTATGAACATTAAAGTTGGAGTAACAATATATTGAGCAAATTTTGTTTGCAGTTAATTTTTAATGCATGTTACAAGAGTTAATTTACAAGCAAATATATTTTTATTTTAATGATAGCACAAAAATTTATAATTGTAACACATAAATCAGCTTGTTAAATTACTAAGTATTATTCTTTGATTAAAATATCTAAATAATTGTCGTGTTTTCTAAAACAATAGTTAAGTAAACATGAAATTTTTGCTAAAATTATTCATGAGATAATATGAGTAAGAATCCTAGCATTTTAATTTAAATTAAAAATTCGGAAGTGAATATTTTTATTTGATTTGCATTATGAAAAAAAAATATTTCTGTTTATAAAATTCATATCAATTTGTAAAGCATTTAAATTTAGTAAGACAATTTGTATGATATCTTAAAGATTTCTTTAAAAATTAAAAAGATATTGTGTTACTTTTTTATTAATAGTAAAAACACTCTTTACAATGATTTTTCTCTTCTTTCATCATTTAAAATTTTTCTTCGAATATTTGGGGAACATACAATATAATTTTACAATTATTATTTCAGCACTGATTTGTCGACTTTTTTTTTTTTTTTTTAATTTTTTTCAACGATACATTAAAGGGATTGAAAATGCATAACAAAAAAGTTATCTTGTTTTTTATGCCTCTGGAAAAAATTTAAATTCATGAAACTTTAATGTCCCTCTAGAGTAACAAACAAGATTCTTAAGTGTAATATGCATATGCTCTTGAGAACTAATATATTAATGTTTGTCTTTTTTGATTAATGTCACTACAAATTTTCAAATAATTTTGCTTTTTTTAATAGAAATATTAAATAATTTAAATCTTTATTTTTTAAAGCAATTGAAGTAAATGAAAACATTTTCATTAAAATTTTTTTTCGGATTCAAGTTTTGTTGCTTAAAAAATTCATTTAGTTTTGCATGCTGTAGCAGTATAATTTGATCTCTTAAATTTTATTCTATTTTTTTACTGAAAAAATTTTAAAGTCAGGGATATAGATTAATCTTTTATATAATTTTGAAATTGAAGTTTTTCACATAAATGGTTTATTTTTTCAGTTGTAAACAAAAATAATTTCTTTTCCCATACTAAGCTGCTGCAAATAAAAGCAATTTAAAATAAATGTAAAAACACCATTCTCACCTCTAAACTTTCATGTATGATACTGAACTTTAAAGTGTTGGTATGAAAACAATTTAATAAACAAGCTTTTGCCTTTTTTTTTTAAAGATTAATCAATTGTTCTTAAAATTTATTTTTATTGTGAAATTCACGAAATAAAAAAATATTAGCAAAAGTAATAGTTAAAAACTAATAATAATGTATCAATATTATTTTGTACAGAATTAATGAAAGCAAATATTATCTACAAGCTTAAATTATAATTACTAATATTAGTGGTAAATACACACATATACACGTAAGGCAGATCAAAAAATGTAATTAATAAATAATAGTAAAACTTAAAAAAATAGTAACTCAGATTTAATTAAAGTGCTTGTCTTTAAAGAATGCTATTGTTAGCTAATTTTGAACAATGCTTTCAAAGATTAATTAAGAAGTATACTTTTCTAGAAACTAATTCATATTATTGCGTATCTATCACAATAGATAAGATACAGATACTTCGAAATACATTGAAATCGTATTCTTTATAATTTATTAGATGCAGTTTGAAAGCTTAATAAATACTTAAAAATAATAACTTTTTGTTACTTAGATTTAAGAATTATATTTCATGAAGTAAAGTTACATGTTTCAAAACGATGTTTTTTATTAGAGGGATATATTTTTTTCTGAGAAAAAAATATGCTGTGATTTAAAATAAAATCAAATATACTTTTTCTACCACTTCTCACTTTTTATTAGGGATCGTACGAATTCTATTATAAATAACTACTCAGATTTCAAATTCCAGATAAATTAGTTTTTAAACTTAAAGAAAGTGGTAGTTAAAAAATTTATAAACTATGTTTATTGATAAAATCGCCAATTTATCTCATAAGCTTTCAACTTCTGCTTTTAGAACTTTCTAATATTCTCATCCGCGTATTCAAAATATTTCGTCAGCATTTAACACGCTGGTATGCCAGACTGCAATCGAATTTTTTGCTCACATTTTCGGTCAACTGAACAATAAATGTAAATTTAAAAAAAAAATTAGGTCGAATATATATATCAGTATTATTTGCCATACCATAATTATTTAAAAATAAATTTAAAAAGATATTAAAAAAAATTCAACGACAACTTTTAAAATTAAAGTGGTAGTGAAGTTAAAATGGATTTTCTAATGTTAACTAATGCTTTTGTACTGTGGTGATAGTTCAAATAGAAAAGAGCAGTAAACAGGATTTTACTAATTATTAAATGCATATTTCATATTTATCCGAAAAGTAGGAGCGTATAAAAGTGTCACCAAAAATAAACTAGAGGCGAAATTTTAAACATTCCATATTTCATATTCCATATATCTCCATATTCCATGTGCTTTATATATCAGAATCAGAAAAGTTCATTATTAAAATTTTTTTTTCATTAATACATAACAGATAAATAAATAAGTTAGACTGGCATTTTAATTAAAAGTAAAATTTTTATTTTTCTACGCTGTAATCTTTTACTCTATGGGCAAAAGAAATAATATATTAATTTTTCATTTTCATTGAAATAATTTGCATTGAAATAATTTTTATTGTTATACATTTTGATTCATTTCAGTTTCGAGTTAAAATATAGGTCTGCAAGATTTATTAAATATACGAATATAGTTTTATTTATTAGATTTTATTAGCTTTCAGGCTAAAATGTTTGAAGACAACTTTTTATTGTTATCTTAAGGGCCATAATTTTGAAGGCAGTAATTTGTTTAGTGAGTGCAATAAATTTGATTCCAGAGAAAAATTATGTACTCTAAGTATTCTACTAAAGTACTCAATTAAGTACTTTATTGAGTAAAAGTACTTTATTGAGTTATTGAGGATTAAAAATAAGTTTTTTCGATGCGCTATTAAAAATTCACTTTTTCAAGAATCTCTTTGAAACTGATTTATTTTAAATACTAAATAAATAAAAAAAGAAATCAAAGTTAACGCGATACTTTAAAATCAAAAGTATTGAAAACCTATTCTTTAGTTTTGAAATTGATAACTCATTAATAATGAAATAATCATTAATTTAAATAAATTATACATAAAATAATGATTATATTATTATATTATAAATTAGTTCAAGTATTATTGAGTCAAGTGTTCAAGAACAACTCAAGAAATGAAAACAATTTTTAAAAATCTCACATTTGTTTGTATAATTAAACTTTTACAGTTTATTTGCTATAAAAGTAAATGAAAAACTTAACTGTACGATTTTTGTGCAACGAGTATTTTGAAAGAAAAAAGAGAATTTTTAGTTGTAGAAATATGTGATGCATTTATAGTTTAAAAACATTTTACATTTGTGTTTTTTTTCTTTAAAGCGGTTTAATCCAATTTCAGTTTGTCATTTATTAATTTTACAATTCTCAATAGAATGTATAAAAATATTTTCAACTCAATACTTCTTTAGTTTAAAAGTTATGTTAAATTTAAAATCTATCGTTGATTTGACATACCAACTATTACTTTTAATATATGTGGTTTTTTATTGATGATAGTAATTGTTACACATATTTCAATTAATGGGTTCGAATAAATAAATTCTTTACA